GAGACACGTCAGTTTTGTAGGTGTCCACGATAGAAACACGTCAATTTTGTAGGTATGCATGATGGAAACATGTCCAATTTGTGTGGACACAGTCTAGCGAAGTGTCTGAAGTGCATCCACGGCGTGTCCACTCCTAAAGAGTGTCAGACTTAGGGACACGACAGTCTCATGCCATGTTCGTGCAACATAGCTAAATATATACCCTCCTAAGTTCCCTTTTGTCCCATAAGTCTCTTTGTTTTAATGCTTACAATTCATCTAACACTTATGCCGAGTGATCTTACTTGAATCTTTTGTATTCTCCAAGACTGATATGAAAGCTTCATATCTCAATAGCATAATTACTAGAATTGTTTCAACAATTATTTTATTGTCATTTGAGGGGAATCTTGACGACCTGTTGATTTCTTTCTTCAATTTTGTTGCTTTGGGTACCTCTTGTTTGGTTGGTCCTAGTTTAGGATTTAGGTTAAAAATGAAATTAGAGTAGAATGATATATGATCCTCCTATACATAAATGGTTTAATAGTATTGCATGATTTCAAGAGATAATCTTACATGATATTTGCGATTATACTCTTATGTGTATACATAGTGCTTAATGACTGAGATATTACCTTTGTACGTCAGTCTTCAATGTGTCCAAGGAGATACGGCACAAGGTTATTCTCTGGGTGATGCTTGGGTGATGTTCATATTTTAAGCGAGTTGTACTCAGATTAGTGAAGTTATGTCTTCGAGGAGCTAGACTCTATTGGATCGAGCAGTACAACTGTTAAAAAAATTCTCTAAATTTTAAAATTGTGACTGCAGTTATTATATCGATTATGTAGAAATTAGTACAGAAAAATATAAAATTATATTTTTGTACGAATCGAAGGTACTCCGCCTAACCTATTGAATAAATGTGGAGGGAGTTGTTTGACGTGCCGAAGGATCAGTACATGATCATGGAGGAACCCAACATCGATCAACTATTTGTATTTCTCGTTCAAAGAAGGAGGATTCGTCCAAAGCCTCACAACATTAGTTGTAGGATTAGTTATATGGTCAGCCAGTAGACATTTTGATGCAGTAAGATATGTCTCCTCCCTTTTTGATTTTACATTGATTTCTCCTCATGCCACTCAATTTCAAGAAATAGATTATTATTATTTCAAAGGAGTAGATATATTTTTCTTTTTCTTTTTTAAGTTATTAAATTTGTACATTAAATATGAAGTAACCATTTCATAATAAACAATAAAGGGTGTTACCACCTTTTCCACCGGTAATTAACTCCTCATCAAGATTTCCGTTTTAAATACCAGTTTTTTAAATAAAGATTTTATTTCCATTACTAGAAAAATTTTATTTTTCTGCGAATTTTCCTGAAAAAAAATATTCGCAGAAATTTTTTACAAATTTATTTGCGAAAAATAATTTACAGATATTTCTTACAAATTTTGCTACAATTTTAATGATCATAAAAAAAAATTTCCATGATAAAAATTTGCAAAAAATATTGTAACAATTTTATTTTATTTCTTGCAGATTTTCTTGCAAAAATAAATTCGAAAGTAACGTTTACTAAATTGTAGAAAAATTTTGCAAGTAATTTTTTCTACGGATTTTCCTATAAATTTTAATCTGCAGGAAAAATAAAAAAATATTTAAATTTATAATTTTAATATTTTAAAAGAACTTCAAGTCCCACATCGATTGAAAATAAAATAATTAAAGAGTATATAAGTTGGGGCAACACTTACCTTAATGTTGGAGGCATAGAAACAAATGTTTCGGATGAATTCATTGTGAGCATTTGAAAGTTGAAGAATTATTGATAGAATTTATAGTAATTTCTTTAATTTTTTTCGTAAAAAATATTCCTGCAGAATTTCTTGCGAAAAAATGCGATTTTTTTTTGCAGGAAACTTTTCTGCGAATTTTATTTTGTAGGAAACTTTCCGGCGGATTTTTTTTTGCAGGAAACTTTCCTATAAATTTCTTTTGTAGGAAACTTTCCTGCAAATTTTTTTCGCGAGAAATTTCGCAAGAAAATTTCCTGCCAATTTTAAAATTCGCAAAAATATATTATCCACGAAGGTATTACCTGCTGATAAAATTTCACAGAAAAATTTATAGGAACAACGTTTCTTGCGATATTTTCATAAAAATTCGCAGGAAAAGTCGCATGTAATAGGATAAATTCTAGTAGTTTTCCCTTAGTTATCTTTAACGATAAATAAAGGAAAAATCATTTTTTGGTTTCCATGATTTTTCAAAACACATTTACCTCTTTAATAACTATATCTTTCATTTATTTATTAATACTCTTATTTGTAGTTTTTACATTTTTTTCTTCAATAACTATAATTTTCCTTTAAAGCTAAACACAAAAATTCAAATTGAGTGCACTTTTTTTTATTGTAACTGTTGAAGTGAATGTCAGAACACAAGGGGGTTAAATTGTTTTCTATTAAAATTTATTCCTTTTAAATCTACTTCTTAGAAGGTAAGTCATATGAGTATAATTAATTTTGATACTTAGTGTATTTTTCTAAAAATTGTTTCTAAATTTACTTGTTTATGAAATAAAGAATGTAGCAATAAAATGGTGAATGCAATGAGTCAAATAAACAAGTAAAAGAGATAAGGAAGGAGAGACTAAGCACAAGATTTATACTAGTTCACTCTAACTGAGCTACAATCAGTCTCCATACAACTTTGTAGGCTTTTTAACTAGAAACATAACTAATTGTTGTTTAAATTCAACCACCTGCTAATACAATCACCTACTGTTAGCAACAACACTCAGTCACATGCTGAGGAACTTCACTCAACCACCTGTTTAGAAAAACAATCTCACAACCATCTACTATGAGACTACACAACACCTGTTATGATTTACTTTATTTTCCTACACCATTGCACTCTTAGTTATTGGTAGGAAGTGTTTATAGGAATGTGTTTCTTGTGTTCTTGCAAATTGTAAAGACTACAAGTAAAACTCTTCTAATGAAGTTTCCACTAAAAAAGATTTTACACTTCTTTTTTATTACATATTAGAGTTACAAATATGAAGTAGAAGCCCCTGAAAAATTAGAGGATGAAGCATCAAAGGATTTATCTTATCAAGTTTGAGTAATCTCTCTTTTTCTTTGATCTTTCTTGCTTCAAAATGAGATCATTGTCTTTCTTTTATAGACTCTCAACAAATAGATCTGTTGGGACTTGCTTTGTTCTTTTTGTTTACTACTAACATCACTTATACTTTTCTTATTTTTTGTCAACTTTTACAAACGAAATGTCTTCTAAGTAGATCTTTACTTCAAGTCTTTTGAATAAGGTCTTCAATACTAGATTTTTGTGAAGAATTGTTTTAATTGCATGTTTCTAATCAACAACTTGAAATAGTAGTCTTCTAAATTAGGTCTTTAAGACATGTCTCCTATGAAGAATTGTTTCACTTGAAGGTTTCTAATAAGCAACTTGAGATAGTCATTTACTTACTCGGGACAAACATTATCATTTGTACTAAACAACAATTTTTGATAAATAATGAATCTTCTTATAGGTTATCATAAAGATGTCTTATGAATCATTGCTTTTTGTTCAAGAAATTATTAAATCATATAGCCTTTTGATCAGTTTTATTTTTGTTGAAATACTTGAACAAATTTATTAGCACATAGATGAGTATTCTTCTTATATAAAATTTGAGGCTAAGAATTTATCGTTATTAAAATCTCATTCAGGCAAGATTCAACAACTACTGCAAACAACAAAAAAATGTGTGTATTAAATTGAATCCATGAGAGATATTAAGTAATTTGACTCCACTAATTTTAAATAAAGTAAATTTTAGTGACAACTCTCGATTTTCAACTATATTTTTAAAATTTTGTTTGACATCTCTATACAATTTTGGATGCAACATGATGACTAATGCTATCAATTTCTTCTTTACAAAGAACTAATTGGAAGTTATTAAGGGCTAACTTGAAGATAAATATATTAAATCACAATTTTTATATAGTTTGAATAATAGGAGCAATAACTTTGAGTGTGTTTGACTTGGTATTGTATAATTTTATTAGCTTATTTGATTAATTTATAAGTTAGTTTGGTCAAACTAAACTTGTTTAATATGGCAATGAACTTATTTTAGGAGTTTATAATTTATTTTCATAAACTAATTGAAATAGCTTATATAGCTTGTAAGTTTGGGACTTTTTTCTTTCTTTCTTCTTCTTTATCCTTATTAATTTATTTGAAGTCATTTTTTTTATCCTTTTTAATTTACAAACTATGTTGTTCATCCTATCATTTTTTCACTCTCGTTATAAAAAATATTTTATGTAATTTTACATTTATTAACTAATTTATTAGATAATCTTATCCAAACACTTTTAATTCAACTAATTAACTTATAAATTTTCAATTAACTTATAAGCTAATTTTATCAAACTAACTTTTAATGTAAAAATGTAACACTATTATGACAAAATGAACATTTGATCTATGATGCAGTACTTATTCTTTATTTTTCCATTTCATAAAATCTGTCTTTCTCCGATGATAATTCAATACTCCTTTTTTATGGGTAATTATTTTTGTTACATTCTTGTTGGTAATTTAATGATACAGGGTTAGTTTTGTGGTTAATGATACAGCGTAACGGGTGAAAAAATTACTTATCAGTCAAGCGATAAAATCATACAATTATATAAATAAATGTGAAAGCTAAATCAAGATATTTTATTGTCATAGAATAGATTATAGATGAAATTAAATGTGTATGTAATGTTTACCCATCAAGAATGGACGCGCATAAAATTCAGTTAAAATGAGAAAGCCTTCTTTCAATAGAAACGAATGAGGATATCATTTTCAAATTAGTTAGATAATCAAGATCATGGACTCATGGCTTTTCAGCTTATCATATCGAAAAAACAACATATACTTTCATTGTCGTTGATTAGTACCGTCCTACCTATATTACGCCAAACACTTTGATCTCAATCAAAATAGTAACAATTGCCAAACTCTTGTTATTAACAATAACATTGTATTTGAGGATACATTATGACAACACAATAATATTGAACCCAAATATTGATTATTTTCTCTCTCTCATTCTTTCTAATTAACATCTTATTCTGTTCGATATTATAGTAACTGGAAACTGAATATGATGCACATCACTCTTTTGCTTAAGTATGTAGAAACATCAAACGGGGGAGTATAAAGATCACTGAGATCCCTTGAGTTTCTTAGCAATGCCAGCAAAGTACTTCCCCTGATGGAAAGCTTGAGCCAATTCCAACTCAGTAGGTTGTCTGGATCCATCCCCGGCATAGGTACCTGCACCATATGGGGATCCACCCTTCACATTCTCCATCTCAAACATACCAGCACCAAATGTGTAACCAATGGGCACAAAAATCATCCCATGGTGAACCAGCTGAGTGATAGATGTCAACCTGCAGAATTTTAACATCAGACAACAACTGATGATCACTGGAATAAAAGCAAAAAAATAAATGTTGGAAACAAACTGAGAGATTCAGAGTATGTTTGGTTTGAATTTTGTGATGCGATTTTTCACGTCAAGTGGAAGCTGTTTCTTGTAACTTCTGCGTTAATTTAAGATTTGGACGTGAAAAAACTGTGCAATGGGTGTATAAAACGCCCAACTAAACAGCATTTCAGTAACTCACGGAGTAGTCTCTTGTCCACCTCCTTGAGAACCAGTGCTGTAAAAGATTCCTGCGGGCTTTCCAGCTAGTGCCTGCGTGCGCCATAGGCCTCCAGTTGCATCCAGGAAAGCTTTGAATTGAGCAGCCATTAGTCCAAATCTTGTGGGGAAACCAAGCAACAAGCCATCAGCCTCAGGTAGTTCATTGGGTGTAATAACTGGTACATCACTCTTTGAAGGTGCACCCATTTTCCCAAGGACCTCTTGAGGCAGTGTTTCAGGTACCTGTGTGAATAAGATCATCACAAGTACAGAATGAAATTTCTCAGATTGTTCTGAGTCATAAGTTCTAATGGATTTTGGAGCATATATATCTTGGTTAAATGGTTAAAAAATGCTAGCAACATATTTTATAACTCATTCTTTTATCTTATTCTTCGTTATTGAGTGAGATTTACCTGACTCTCAATAAATAGGGGAAGTGACACACATCTTATTGTGGGTACCTTAAGAATTTCGGCTAATAACGAAGTATGTGTTAGAAAATATGTTGCTATAACATTTCTCAACTAGGTTGAAGCATCTAAAAGTTATACAGTGGTTATTTGAACACTTTGATTACTAGAAGGCTAGAAGCCAATCTTGGAGAGATAGAAGATAGACGTTAACTGATCTTCAAATGTGAAATAACTGAGCACAAGTTTAGAGAGGTTTATAATTCAAAGACTTGTGATTACAAACCTGCCATAGCTTTGCTTCTACTCCTTCAACTGAAGCCGCTCCTTTTTTAATCTCTTCAGCTAGCTTCTCAACGTGTCCGTACATAGAATAGTAACTAAACAGTAAGCAAGCAAAGTAAATTTTAATCAGATTCACGCCACAGCATTATGATAGACATTAAGTACAACTTCAGAAGGACGTTATCATAGGCCAAAAGATGCTAAATTAATAATGAGCCCAAGCCAGCAAAGGGTTGAGGCACTATTTTACTTGATTTTTTTTTTTTTTTTAAGAAAAGAACATACAAAAGAACTCAGTAGTAAAAGTTTAATATTGGCTCAATAACACCAAAGCTCAATCAAAGTCCTCAGTCATCATAACCCGAAACAAGGCGTGATTCACTGATTTAGGAAAGATTATTGTACCTACCACTAATGCATCAACAGAGGATTATGGTGGCACTATGCTATCAATCACCAAGGACAAGTATAAGCATTTTAGTACCAGACAAGACATGATGACATTGACAGCACGTTCTCTACAGTAAGAAAAACCATTTAACTAAGCTTGCCTCGTTTGTATTTGAAAATGGTTGGGGCCAAAGAAACATTTTCAAATACTAAAGTTATATCGGAATTTGCAAGCCAAGGAAGAGTGATCGATCAATAATGATGAATGTATGGACCACACTCTAACAAAGTGCGTGGGGCTTGCACTCTCGTTTCCATGGATATTGCCTTTACAACCTTCTTCAGAAAAGGTTGGTCTGAGGGAGGGTTCACCATCATAGCTTTCTCTGTTGTAAATTGTCCCTTTAAACCACTCACCCCATGGTTTTCCTTTCCCAAAAAAAAAAAAGAAAAAAAAGTCCTCAACATCAAAACTCTCTATCCTTCAGTTGCATACCCTCACAACCTTTCCAAATGGAAAAATACGAGGGGAAAACAGATTGAAGAAATGATCAATCAACAGAGAACCAGAAAACAGATCTGAGTCAATTTTTCTCCTTGGGGCAACATTAACTTACCCTCATGCTCAAACAAAAAAATTGTGGGTTAAGCAATTCAATTGATGAGATTTTCTAATTTAGCTTGATTGGATTCTAAATAGGCGCACACAACAGAAATACGTTATTCATGACAAGAAGTTAATTGATGACAAACAGCACAGTTAATCCCCCAAATTTCCAAGGCGGATAAAAGAACAGCATCAAATCTGAGAACTGCTCTTTATCAACCCCCCCAAAAAAAAGTCAATAACTTGAAACAAGGAAAATAACTAAGTGGCACTAACACGCAGAGTTGACCTTACGCAATTTTAAATGGTACAATAAGAAAGACACAAAATGCACAAAAAACAGAAAGACCCACTTCCCAATTATCTAAATTCCAACACTTACTCAGACTAATAACAACAAATTGACAAACTTGGAAGGGAAGCAAATAGCTATAGTCACCGAAAAATCATAAACAGAATAGGAGAGTAACTGAATAAACAGCGATCAACAAAGGGGAAAAGAAGAATAGAATCCTCCAACCATTCATTATATGTTTGTGGGGGGAAAATAAAGCAAAGGCAGAGAGAGATAGAAAAATGGCCCGAATGAAATCAGATTGGAGTTGGAAAGACGGAAGGAAGAAGAAAGAGGAAAAATGACTTACACAATGTAAACTTTAGTGGTAGCCATTGATGGATGGTGTGTATTTCTGTGAGGAAGGAAAAGAAGGTGTGGGTATTGGTATAGGTGGATGAGAACGTTGACAGGGTACCTATGCTTATATAGTGCATGCCCCGTCTATCATAAGTCACACTCTCCTTCATTTTATTCACCGTAAATTTAGTCCCCCCAAACAAATTCAAATAAGATTCTCGATCACATATATTAAAATTAATAAATACAACATCGCTTTCTGACATTTTTTTTAAATATATCAATTTTTTATTTATTTAAATAACCTGGGCCGGTTATTATTTACCTAAATAATCCACTTTAAAATCCAAATGAAAAATCGATTGCTGGGTAACTGATTTCTCAAAGGAATTTTGAAATTTTTTTTGAAAGTTCCTTTGAGAAATCGGTTACCGGTAACCGATTTCTCTCTTAGGTAGTATTTGTTTCCGAGAAAGTACTGTTCACGAGCAAAGAAAGGCGTGGAAAGTATCCGTTTATTTCCCCTGATTTGGAACGAAGGAAAGACGAAGAAAAGCGAGGAGAAGCACTGTTGCTCTCCTCGCACAAAAGGGAAGAAAGGAGGTGAAAGACACGTAGGATTTGTGAAAAACCGAAAATGCCCCTCCCATGCATGTGCCATGCAGCATAGGATAATCGATTATGGTTGACAGAATTTCGACGCTGGTGGTTGGTGTTGCTCATTGATTCTCCACGTTCTCCACGGGCTGGTGACTCATTCTCGACGTTACGTGGCTGGTGGTGGCTGCTGGTGGTGGTTGGTGGGTGTTGGTGGTGAGTGATTGTGGAAGGAGCTCCTCCACTGAAGGTAAGTTTGATCGCGCCTGGCGCAATACCAATTGCGCCCAGCGCAGGCCAGGCAGAGACTCCAAGGAGTCTCACGTGCCCGGCGTACCTAACCCAGCGCCCAGGGCAGGGAAGGCAAAGACCTCCCCTTGGTCTCGCGCCCAGCGCAATTCAAATTGCGCCCAGCGCCCACAAGGCAGAGACTCCCAAGGAGTCTCACGGCCAGCGCGACAAGGGTCGCGCTCAGCGCAGAATCAAAAACCCCAAAACATGTTTCAACTGGTATCGCGCCCAACGTGGTCCAAGTCACGCCCAGTGTGGGCCAGCCAGAGACCCACATTCCCAAGCGTGCCCAGCGATTTCATCATTGCGCCCGGCGAGCTTGGCTAAATGGGGTCCCCTGGTGGCCACGCGCCCGGCACGAAGAACTGCGCTCAGCGCGAGGCTCAGCAACAACACTCCATTTTCGAAAAACTTAACCAAATCCTGCAAAAATCCACCATTTCAACACATGCAAACCATTCAAGATGCCACATTTCCAACCAACAGTTCAAAAACACCAACCTTTTTCACATGCAACCATAAAACAATCAAAAGACCCAAAATTTGTCAAACCCACAAAAAATCCCCCAAAACTCCCAATTTCAGCAATTCAACAAAAATCATCAAACGTCAACCAACTTCAACAGCTAATGAGTTTACAACAACTCATTCTCAACCAAAATCAACCACAAAACTAACTTCCCTTACCTCGGTGAAGAATCCGAGCTTCCGGGAACTTGAATGGAGGAAAAGAGTGAAAAAGAGCTTGAGCGAAAGGGGAAAAGGAGGAAGAAGAGATCCGCACCCACCAGCTACAATCCAACTACTTAGCACCTAACCTAAAGAGATCACCACCAAGAATCAGGAACGGAGTAGAGAATTTTGAGATAGAAAGGGTATGAGAGTGAGTGAGGGTGTCAGGGGGGTAGAAAGAAAAAGAAAGGGTCTCACACTTGTGATATGAAATGTTTATCCGTAATATGAGAACTCTATATGTGATATGAGATGATAATGTGTGATATGAGAATGACACGATGATGATGATATGTATGAATGAGATTGGCGAGATGATGATGTGTATGCATAAGATTGACATGAAAATGATGTGTTAAGTGAATAATATAAGCATGAATTGAGTCTATAAGATAAAGTTTTGCATAGTGTTGTATGTAAAATATGCATCGTGAGTATGAGTATTCGCCTTTGGGTCATGAATATTCACCTTTAGGTCATGAAAATTCGCCTTTAAGATACAAGTATTTTGGACCATGAGTATCGCGCCTGGCGCAATACCAATTGCGCCCAGCGCAGGCCAGGCAGAGACTCCAAGGAGTCTCACGTGCCCGGCGTACCTAACCCAGCGCCCAGGGCAGGGAAGGCAAAGACCTCCCCTTGGTCTCGCGCCCAGCGCAATTCAAATTGCGCCCAGCGCCCACAAGGCAGAGACTCCCAAGGAGTCTCACGGCCAGCGCGACAAGGGTCGCGCTCAGCGCAGAATCAAAAACCCCAAAACATGTTTCAACTGGTATCGCGCCCAACGTGGTCCAAGTCACGCCCAGTGTGGGCCAGCCAGAGACCCACATTCCCAAGCGTGCCCAGCGATTTCATCATTGCGCCCGGCGAGCTTGGCTAAATGGGGTCCCCTGGTGGCCACGCGCCCGGCACGAAGAACTGCGCTCAGCGCGAGGCTCAGCAACAACACTCCATTTTCGAAAAACTTAACCAAATCCTGCAAAAATCCACCATTTCAACACATGCAAACCATTCAAGATGCCACATTTCCAACCAACAGTTCAAAAACACCAACCTTTTTCACATGCAACCATAAAACAATCAAAAGACCCAAAATATTTAAACAAACTTCAAACATAATAGATAAATAACATAAAATCTAAATCATATAATATTAGTTGTCTAACTTTATTGCTTGGTCAAGGTATCTTTCAATCGCTTCCATCCCATGCAATAATCCAATATACATCGTGGTAGCATACAATTCGAGACCTGTTAGGTCGTGCAGTTCTGTGAACAATGAAAACATACACTCCACATCTTCATTATCCCTAAGACAACACGCTGTATATTTATATACACCACTGATACATGAATTTGGGTATCGATAGTGAATATCTATGACAACTTTGTAATGAGAAAGATTAAAGTTATTATTAATAACCTGCTTAAGTTGTTGATAATTCATCATGTTACTTACTAGTAGGGTTTTAACCTCGTTGCTAACAAATGTATCTCCATGCTTAGTGGAGACAATTTGTCCATCATAGTAAATAGTGGCTAGAACAGTTAACGACTCCATTGATTGGATGTTTCAATCTCTTGCATTTTTTTTAGCTTGTGTTTAGGGTTTATATAGAACTAAAGCAACCTAATGTGGACAAAAGCAAAGTCATTGGATTCTTGACGCTCTGCACAAAGCATTGATGATTCTTTGATAACATCTTTGGTGGAGAGGTGGAGATCTGAGACACATACTTTTCACCTCCCAGTTGGTGAGTGCACGGTCACTTTAGAAGATGTGGCACTACAATTGGGTTTAAGGATCAACGGCAAACCAATCACAGGACCAGCTTTCTTTGACTGAGATGAATTATGTTATGAGTTGTTAGGCTTTGTACCTCCGGAAGGGGAAGCTCTAGTTGGCTCAAGCATAAAACTAAAATGGTTAAGAGACCATACAATTGCCCTACCAGATGAACCCACTGAACAACAATTGCACCAACATTGTAGGGCATATATCTTAGGGTTGATTGGTGGTGTCATTATGCTAGACAAGTCAGGTAACATAATTCATTTAATGTATTTACTACTATTGGCTGACTTGGAACGTGCAGGACGATATAGTTGGGATTCAACTTGTTTGGCACGTAGGGAAATTTATCCATCGTCAAAGAAAATGGGTGGATGTTCTTTGCTTCTACAATGTTGGGCTTGGTATTGCATGCCCTCCATCCAACCAAGAGTCCAACGGGATATTACATTTCCGCTAGCATCGAGGTATGGATTAATTTTTATACCACTTTAATACATCGAACAAATAAAATTTTTTACCTAAAATTTTATCAATGTACAAATGTTTTAGGTGGTCAGGAAGAGGGCTAAGATTTTCAGGCACACCTCATGGAGACTTACTTGGCTACAGATTAATATATGACAACATGAACCATAACGAGGTAATACAATGTAAAATTCTCTCAAACATACTCTTTTATACTCAATTGATTCATATCCTAAACCTTTTTCTTTTTTAGTTTCTATAGATGCCATATAGGGAATTTCAGTCCTCACTGTCAACACGTGCTTTTAAGGATTTTAGAATATGGACTTCTTGTACTGCTTTAACTTCATTTGCAGTTGTAGTCTGACATCAAATAGACAGAGTCCAATTGCAATTTGGCTTATGGCAACCAATGAAGCTCATAATCTTGATAAAATGCACGAAATAGACATGAGAGGACATAGCGACACCAACTGGGTTGAACAACATGCAAACTGGATTTCCATTTGGAAAGATAGACGCAAACATGTTATTTTTGGGGAACCACTTCAAGGGCCTCTCCAACACACTCCTGAGTATTTGCAAGGGTTTCGTGCTAATTCTAAATTATTTCTTTGTAGCCAGTATTCTTCATCTCATGCATCCACTTCTAGTACACAACTCCCAACAATAACTGGAACAACATTCCCAATGGCTGGAGATAACCACCCACTTTATAGTGTGGAACAACATCCCCAGTCTAATTCACCATTTCATACGCACCATGAACAATTCATGTACAGCCCACCATCAACAACAACTCCAATAGGGGACTTCATGAGCAATCTTTTCGGCGTCGACATACACATGCCACAAAGTGCATATAATTACATGCAAAGCATGAATTTTCCTTCATTTTCTTCTTATCACTCTGAGGTCGGTGCAAGTGATTCGTTAAATCCAGCAACTGATACTGTTAATATAGAACATGATGAGGAGCAAGTTGAACCACAACAACCACGCATTGGTCGTCAAAACCCAACAAGGAACCGACAACCTCCAAGGTGTGGAACTGGTGGGCATAAACATCATTAAAGTTGGATTGTAATTTCATGGATTGTAATTCTGTTGTTATTCTTTTTTATTCGACCTCCTATTTTGTTGTTGTTATTTTGTTTTTATTTAAAGTTTTTCATCTCAATTAAAGTTATTTTTATTTAAAGTTGTGATTTATCATAATATTTTCATTTATTTAAATTTCTATTTAAAATTAATTTTATTAAATTTTATTCC